TAATCTGGTAAGTACAATTAAATGTTTAGACTTTGAAGCATGTTTGCCAAATCTGTACCTAAAGAAGCTGTTCAAAAATTACCAGGCATAAAAAAACTTCGTTGGGAGAAGTAATTTACGACAAAGGGGACAAAAGAAATCTCGAACATTTTGCTCAATGGTTAGAGAAAATGGCAAAATGTAACTTGCTGTATCTTACAACACATTCAAGAATGTTCACCTTCAAAATACGAAAAACCTTTAACGATTTCTACAGGTGAATGCGCTTACTGCATAAAAAAAGGACATAGCATAGATAATTGTAGCAAACTGAAGATCGACGATGTAGATACAAGTTGGAAAGTAGGTACTAATAGGAAGCTGTGTTTCTCATGTTTGAAAGGTAGTCATCATATCACAAAGTGCAAATCCAGAAAATCCTGTAGAATGGAACTGTACACGACCTCACGATAAATGTCTGCACAAGACACAAGAAACAAGAGAAATCCATAGCAGTCAATCCACATGGGGAGATCAATAAGATAACCAAGATAACGAAAATAACACGGATTCTGCCAAGAGCCAGAGGGTACTAATTACTAGGCAAGACAAAGAAAAATGTTATTCTTTATGGTCCGAACTGTATTAAAGTATCAGTATCAGCTCTTTGTGATGAAGCATCGACAGTCACTCTGATTGATGAGTCACTTCTTGAAACTTTACGAGTACAGGGGAAAAGAGAACCTATCTGCGTACAGTGGACCAGCGGAGTTGTAAGAATCAATAAAGATTCCTTATGTTTCGATATTCCAGTATCAGCTAATTAACATCAGGCCAAACAGTTCAAATAACGAAATGTCCGTTCTGTGAAAAATCTTGCTCTTCCAAATCAACAAATTTGAAAAAGTCAATGGGGAAATTTTTCACATTTAACAGGTTTATCTATTCAAGACATATTTGCTTGTTGAAGGCCCTGATTATTCACCTCTAGCTTCTAAAACCATGTTAGGGTGGATTCTTCGTGGACTCTACAATTGCCAGCATTCAAACATACCTAGAACACATTTTTTCCTTTCATATTTGTGAACATGAAATATACGATGAAGAATTACATGAACTAGTACGACATTCATTTTCAACAGACAATTTTGGAGTTTCCAACATATCTTAGTTCAGAAACATGTAAAGACTTAAACATGGATCATTCTTCGATTCAGAGAGTTCTGGGACTTTATTGGGATTCTACAATGGATGTGTTTTGTTTCCAAATTAGCAATTTTGATAGAGAAATTTCTAAGACTTGTCGACCAACTAAGAGGCAAGTTCTAAAAAATGTCATGTCAATTTTCGACCCATTAGGTTTGATAGTTAAATTGACAATTCGAGGCAGAATACTTATACAAGACACTTGGCGCAGTGGCATCGGTTAGGTTTTCAACATAAATGAAGAATTTTTAAAATTTTGGTTAAATGATTTTGAATTAGTTGCAGACCTAAGCATATTCCTGAAGCTAAAAGAGTTACACGCATTCTGTGATGCAACTAAAAAATAATTTGCATGTGCTGTTAATAGACGAGAAATTACCAAAGATTGACACTTAGCATATCATGGCCAGAGCAAGAGTTTCTCCTATCAAGGCAATCTCCATTCCAAGACCTGAATTGCAAGTCGCAGTACTGAGAAGCAGGTTGCTTGTGACTGTAAAAAATGCTTGGAACATCAATATTCACCAAACCTACATGTGGACTGATTTACATTGGATTAAAAGAGATGAAATAAAACTTTTTGAATCTCACAGAGTTGGGGAGATTCAAGAAATATCTGATAGTAGAATTTGGAGATGGGTACCTTCTAAATTAAATCCAGCTGACCTCGCGACAAGAACATACGACACACAAAGTACACCTATGACAAATCATGGCACTTAGGTCTTGACTTTCTCAAGGAAATTTATTGCTATTCTCCAGAAAAAAAATCAGTCAGGGAAGTTGACAGTACAAGATTTAAAAGAACCTGAAACAAGATGGATAAGACACTGTCAATTAGAAAGTTTCGCAAAAGAAATAAACTATTTGATCACCAAATCACCTATCACCAAACCTTGATGCAACAGGTATTTCTGTGGAATATGGAAGAGTAAACTTGGCACCAGACACAGTGACATTGACAAGAAGTCCAGTTATTTTACCATCGAAATACAGATATACTATCTTACTTATTCAAAAGAAACATGAACAGTTTGCACATCAGGGTCTAGAAACTGTGATAAATGAAATCAGACAACGTTTTTGGGTAATACATCTTAGAGCTTTAGTCAAGAGTGTATTTTCACATTGCCAGTGGTGTAAAGTGAAGAAAATTTGACCAACTATACAGAAGATGGGACAGCTACCTACGTTTAGACTGACTCCGGACATCAAACCATTTACATACACGAGAATAGATTATTTTGATCCTTTATATGTTACTGTAGACAAAAGAACAAAAAAGAGATGGGGAGTGTTGTTCACTTGGTAAGCAGAAGAGGGTGCCCAAAAGAAATTTTTACGGATAATGGTACAAATTCTCGAGGAGCATCAGAAGAATTGAAGAAGCTACGGAAAAAAATAGACGATTCAAAATTCGAAGTCATGGAATCATTTCGAAGTTTATACCACCACAGAATCGCCACATATGGGGGGAGCATGGGAAAGACTGGTTCATTCAGTCAAAATCACTTTAAACATTTCACTAAAAAAACAAAATTTAAAATATGAACTTCTTTTGCCGTAACTGAAAACATCGTCAATTTGACCAAAGTTTCTTTGGATCCAGACGACTTTGAGGCGTTGACACCAAATTATTTTATTATGGGACAATCGAACACTGATTTATTTGCTTACAGATCATATAGTAACGGTGATCTTAGAGTTCATTGGAAAAGATGTCAGCAATTGATAGATTCATTTTGGACAAGGTGGAGTGAAGAATATCTACCGACATTGACGAAAAGATCAAAGCAGAATGATGATGCACAACAGTTAAAGCAAGACGATATTGTTGTGATCATTGAAAACAATATACCAAGAAATCAATGGCGAATAGGCAAGATACAAGCATCTTTAACCAAAAAAGATCAGAACTTCTGGTCAACCTTAGCAAGAAATAAAAGTCTCAAGACTCTAACTGGATTCTTTTGGGACATTGCAGACTTTAGAAACATCCGCAGAAATTAGGGTTGGAAGAAAATGGCACATGCAGATTCTGTTGAGACGGAGAAAAGATATCTAACCATCTTCTACTGAACTACGATGTCGTTAGTTGTTCAAGGATGAAGAACCTGGAAACTCCCCTTATACATTTGGAAGACATTCCACTAGGTATCCTAAAATTCCTAAGAGACGTACGACTAGATGGACTGCTTTGAAATCCTGACTTAGCAGCAGAAGGAGGGGTACAATAGATCAATCTTGGTCGCAGTGCAACTGACACCTCCAGCACATACATACATACATACATAGATACATACCAGAAGACGACAGGACTTGGGCTTTCAATGCATTCAAATATTTTAGAAGCCATAGAAATCACTGAAGAGGACATAAAACGTTAAAAAAATTGTTTATTTAAACATTTACCTAAATTCTGTATGCTACAGTCCTGAATTTGCATCAGCTATGATGGAGATATAACTAATCCTGAATTATTCGATTGTTGATTGATGATGATTTTATCACCTAAACCTATATAAAGCAAAATGTAAAACAAGAGCAATAATTGTCAGCCGGTTTTATCAAAAAAACCTAAACACTCCAAAATGTAAATTACTGTTACAAGAGGCGGTTCGTGTCAAAAACCATAAAAGCCCTCCGAGCCATTATTCGTTGAAAGAGAGATTTGCAACACGCATCCGGCATTTTTTGTTTGTAGCTCGAGGTGGTTTGTTGTGTTGTTGACAGCTTTGCATTAAAATTATGTTAGAGGTATTTGGATTAGATTCCGATTTGCTTTAGCTTGAGGGTGAATCTGTATTGAGGCCTATTTAAATCGATTTCGCTTAGGAATACAACATTAAGCTATTAGGAAAACAATCTGCCTTGAAGGAGCACAGACGATTATTTTCAGTGAGATTTGATTTTCAACAAACTCTTAGCCTGTATCGGTATGTAAAAATGAAGAATTATTGTAGTAAAGTAAGGTTTTTGTTTGAGCTTTCTTGAATTTTCACCACTTTCCGTAGTTAATGTTGCCTGGTTTGAAATCTCTTCAAAATGAAATACAATTTTGCATTATGAAACCCAAAAGTGTCATTTCCGTACACCGAAAACATTCTCCATCAAAATTTTACACGCTTATTCAATATTAATTTTAAATGATATCCAGCCGAGCATCGCATTAATGCAAAGTGCGCTCGGTGGCTTGGAGAAAATCATTTAAATTGTTTATTTTAAGAGCCGAGAAAAGCCGCCAGTGCCTCGCGAAATCGATTCGTTTTAGTACCTATCCAGGCTTGATTTCAATTAACATGCCTCCGGAGTATAAAATTCGAGTAAAATAACACGCGGGGGGGCCTCTGGTTTCTTCTGTATCATTTAACGATTTCGTTGCGTGCAAGTTTCCTATATTTTTTGGGAGAAATAAATTTTTAGGCCTTTAGCAATATTTACATCCTTCGATCTAAGTATTTATTTCAGTTGTAGTTATTCTCTAAGCAAAATAGAGTGATTACAGTAATAAGCGAAGCTTGATTCTTCTGATTGGCGGTTCTTAGATTAACGCCTTCGAGGCAAAAAATAGAGAATTAATACGTATATTACGTTGATTGGTAATAAGACACTTGGTGTGCGTCAATGAAGAAAATTTCATCATAATTAGAAAGTCGCTTAGGATTCAAATAAAATAGTGTCAGATATCCAATTCCATGAAATTCACTAATTGGTATATGGAATTTTCTAGATTAATTCTAGGTGGTGCTCACTTGGATTATGAAACTGAGGCACTAACCCTAACCATCCAATTACAATTATCAAACTATTCTTACCTGAATCAGAATCGTCTTCATCGTATTCGTCATAGTTAAATGGACTGTCAGCTCGGATTATGGGGTCGTCATTGATTGGTGTATAAGGAACAGCTGGAGTGGGCGCTGGAGCTGGATGCCTGGCTTCAGGCCCAGGCGAAAAATGCAGTTCGACAGCGCCGTCTACTGGAAATCTTGGATCTGCAAAAAAATACATCAAGGTATATTTGAGATAAATAACATGATTATATTGATTCAATAATAAATATTATACCTTTTGGTTTTGCTATCAATCTTATCAAACTATTAAGTAAATATTATTTAGTTGATGGCAAAGGTAAATATTATTATATCTTTTTTTTTCAGAACCAATAAGTCGTTAAATTTATATTTTCCACGTCCGGTTTACGCCAATAAATTAGTATGACTAAATTTTCCTCTAAGCCATAAACAAGTTTCTTTGAAAACTGATCAGTATGAATATGGTTTGGATACCTAGTGATCAAAGTTTTTTCCATAATTTATCAATCAAAAACTGGGATTTCACTCGGAAAATCTACAGGCAAGCTTTGGAGCAAATAGTAGAGAGCTACCTACATGTCAATTTTAAATTTCTTCTCTTAACAAAATACCTATAGAGTTCCTCTAGATTTAAAAACATAGGTACCTTTATATATTTATGAAAAGATAAATGTTGTTAATCATAAAAAATTGATTTTTGGACTTTGTCCCTCACCTTTTCTCATAATCCACGGGCACATTGAAATAGAAACACACCAAAGTTCACAACGATAAAAAAATAACAATCACCAGGAAAAATTGCAAAAGTTCAGAGAAATTTGCGCTCGAAATTAATGGAAATGACAATTACTGATCGCGAACGTCATGGATTTACACGTATAAGTATATCGATCGCAATGTTTTTTCGCGTGTTTTCCATCATGTAATCCATACAATATTGATAGCGATAAGCTAGGACCGCCTTATCTCTAGATTATAATATCCTATTTGAGATTGTTAATCTAGTAGAGAGGTGTCGGGTGAAATTAATTTTTGGTGAAACGTAATCTCTGATGATGTGCTCGTTATTAGAGAGGTATCAAACTAAGATTTTTAAATCACTTACAATTTTGGGAATACATATATGGAGAAAACGATGATGAACCAGGAAATCTATATATTTTTGTTGGGGGATTTTGGATACGGCGAGAGGGCACTACCCGATTGAATTTTCTAGAGGAAAAACACCTGAAACTCGCACAAAATAAAACTAGATACAAAGAGAGACTAAAAGAACTACATAATTCAAAACTTACATCTCGGAAGAGACAAAAAAAATCATGGGGGAAAGGCGAAGAAAGTAAAAGGAAATCGATGGAATACGAAGAAATTAATAAAACCACCAGGAAGAAGGAACCAAGAAATAGAAATAGAAAGAGTTAAAGAAAACAACAAAAAAATTAAATGCATAGGACCGACACTAGGTAGATATGGAATAAATAAAATAAAAGACATGAACAGATTAGAAACCAATATTAAAGGGAATATAATAAATAGAACACAACTATTTTATACGGAACTATACCAAGCGAAAAAGAAACCACCGGAAGAAATCATAAGTATAAACTCCAAACTGAAATAAAGAACTACAAGCTGAAATAGGCAAATTCGAAATAAAAAGAGCACTGAAAGAAACGAGAAGTAACAAAGAACCTGGAAAAGATGGATTAACGGCAAAAATGTTGAAATACGGTGGAAAAACAGACAAATGAAATACTGAATGAGAAAAGGATCCCAAACAACTGGAATGAATCCATAACCATTATTCTACATATGTGTTGTATTTAATCCGAACTTGTAGTTCAGATTAACTACAACAATATTTGTTTTTGGAAAGATTTTATGAAATTCAACAGTAAAATACAATGACAATCAATATGACAAAAATCAAAACTCGACTTGCTGGTTAACGTACTTTCAGGTATATCCTGGTACTTCTGGGTACTGTTTCCTAACATATCTCCTTTTTTTTTTAGGTCTTCTTATCAACCTTCCCGTTCTTCTAACTTGACTATTTAAATTATATTCCTTCAGAACAGCTTCATTAGAACTAAAGTCCGTCGATTTTAATCTGATACACCAAAAAAATGTGAGCTGGTGGTTCCCTACGTTAGAACGCCCATGGACATCTGAGGTCACACCTGTTTTTGCCATATACTTCATCCCCTCGCTCCTCATACGGAAAGTGTCAGATTAAAATCGACGGACAATAACAGTATTTGTACTATGTTCTTGACAGTTGATCATTTCTTCAGTATTTGTATTATCTGTTGTGAATTCTATTGAATTGTTATTATCTGGTATATTTTCAATGATAACTTCTTGATCTAAACACTGATCTGAGCTTTGTTCTACGTTGTCTTGTTAATTGAACTTCACTATTGAAAAATGTAATGGGATCAGAAAACTTTGATTTGATTCTTTAACATATCTTTTTTTAATTTGATTAGTATGACATCTTCTTAATATATTGTGATTATTTGGATAAAACACTAGTATGTTGTATATCAAATTGCCAATTGGTTCTATGATTTTTCCAGGAATCCAACGAAACTTGTTATTTTTGTAAAATGGCTTCCCCCTCGTTTAATTTTTGAAAGTGCTCTTTTAAAGGTGTCAACAAACTTTTCTACTTGACCATTGGACTATGGCCAATATGCTATTGTGCGAATAAGTTCAATACCATTCTCTTGACAAAATTGTTCAAATCCGTTGCAAGTGAATTGACTGCCATTGTCTGATACAACTGTTTCAACAATTTCAAATCGTGAATATACCTCTTCTAATTATGATATTGTAAAGCTTGACATGATTGTTGTAGTTTCAAAAACTTCAGGCGACTTCAAATAGGTATCAACAATAATTGAATGATAATAATAGTTGTTGATTGGACTAGCGAAATCTATATGAATTATTTGCCATGGACTCTCTGGAAAAGGCGATACTACTGGAGAAATTTTTGATGGACTTCTTGAAACTTCTGCACATTCTTCGCATGTTCGCACAAAATTAATAATATCCCTGTCTATATTTGGCCAGTAAACATATCCACGTGCTATGGATTTCATTCTTTCTTGTCCAGGATGAACAGTAGGTATGTAGTGGTTTTAGAAGAGAATTTAAATATTTCAATGGTATGAATATTCTATTCTGTCTAAAACATTAGACAACCTTCAACAACGAATAATGAGTCTCGTCTATAATAGAAATTAAGTGCAAAATTTTTAGTATCCTTTTTGTTTGTTCGCCAATCATTCTGTATATATTGACTAACTTTAGAATACATTTTGTCGAGTTGAGTTTCTTGATAAATCATCTTAAAAGCAATTGGGAAATTTTCTAAAACTACATCAAATATATGACAAACTTCTGATTGGATGTTGATCTGAGCAATCAAATATTCTTAATCATTCAATTGTTCCTGACTTACTAATCCTGTCAAAATATCTGCGTGACCAAAATCGCTAGTTTTAATATATTCTATCTTGAAGTCATATGCTTTGAGAACTAATGCCCATATTTGAAGTCGATTTGCAGTATGAATTGATATTTCTTTTTTTGAACCGAAAATAGTCAAAAGAGGTTTATTATCTGTTTGTGGAGTGAAATTTCGACCATAAATCATTGTGTGAAATTTTGTGATAGCAAATATTGAGGCCAATGCCTCCCTCTCTATTTGACTGTATCTTTTTTTTTTGTTTCAGAGTTCTAGATGCCATATAGGTTTGATGATGCCATTTTTAAATCTTTGTAAAATACACGCTCCTAATCCAGTGATACTTGCGTCACCCAATACAATGATTTCGTGAACTGGGTTGTATAGTTGGTTAGTTGGTAGTTTACGGTGGTTTTGGGCCAAGAAAGAGACGAGACAAAGAGACACTCCCCCTACCACTCAAGATACAAGAGCATCCCCCTAACGCGGCCTGTATCCCCCTACAGGTCACTCAAGATACTACACACAACCATCCCCCTACCGCGTCCTCTATCTCCCTGCCGGGTTACTCAAGATACTACATACAATCATCCCCCTACCGCACCCTGTATCCCTCTATAGCGCTCTAAAAAAATAAGTAAACAAGTATCCCTCCACCAAAATTTTCCTGTAATTATCCCCCTAGTTTCGATTTCAAGCAATCTTCAAGTAAGGTGAAAACCAGCTAAGCCAGCAAAATCCACAAAAAAAAAACAGCTAAATCAGGATAAAACCAGCAGAAAACCAGCACGAAACCAGTGCAATCCAGCAGAAAACCAGCTAAATCAGCAAAATCGAAAGCAAAACCAGTTAAATTTAGCCCAAAACCAGCAAAATTCAGCATAAAACATAGGGAGTAGGAGTAGGGGGGTAGAGGGCCTGATAGGGGGATACAGGGCGCGGTAGGGGGAGTGTCTCTTTCTTTCGTCTCTCTCTTGGCCCACAACCCCCGTAAACTACCTATTTTGGTTAGGCTTAGATCCGACTTCAACCAGTGCAACCCAGCATAAAACCAGCTAAACCAGTAAAATCGAAAGCGAAACGAGTAAAATTCAGCACAAAACCAGCAAAATTCAGCATAAAACATGGGGAGTAGGAGTAGGGGGGTAGAGGGCCTGATAGGGAGATACAGAGCGCGGTAGGGGGATGGTAGGGGGAGTGTCTCTTTCTTGCGTCTCTTTCTTGGCCCAAAACCCCCGTACTACAAGTTTTGGAAATTTGATGAAAACTGACCCAAAAATTCTTGCCGACTTTTGATAAGAAATTCTTGTTGAGTCCCTAGGTAAGTCGTGAGAACTTCTGTCATTTGTTAAATAGTCATTACTCTACCGACTGCGCCAAATTGTTGTAGTTTGGATTAACTACAACAATAAGAAAGAAAACGCAGTGAAAAGCTCTTCAGTTGATAGCAGAATAGACTACAGATACACAGACCTTATACCATACATATAATAGCGAAGCAAACACATCAATTAAAATCCACGAGGGAACAATGCCAATACATATAAGAAGAGGTATCAGACAGGGCGACACAATATCACCTAAACTTTTTAACCAGACTCTAGAGAATATTTTCAAAGAATAAGAGTGGGGAAAAAAGGCATAAAATAAATGGACAACACCTGAGAAACGTAAGCTATGCGAATCACATCGCCGTAATAACAGA